GCAATGCCCCAAACGTCCCAGTAGCAGCATCCTTCGTGAGCCTCCTCCAATTCTAATTTTGCCACCAGGATAATCTGGCAATGCCCCAAACTTCCCAGTAGCGGCAGCATCCTTCACGAGCCTCCTCCAATTCTACTTTTGTCACCAGGATAATCTAGCAATGCCCCAAACTTCCCAGTAGCAGCATCCTTCGTGAGCCTCCTCCAATTCTACTTTTGCCATCAGGATAATCTGACAATGCCCCCAACTGCCCAGTAGCAGCAGCATCCTTCGTGAGCCTTCTCCAATTCTACTTTTGCCACCAGGATAAACCGGCAATGCCCCCAACTTCCCAGTTGCAGCCGCATCCTTCACGAGCCTCCTCCAATTCTACTTTTGCCACCAGGATAATCTGGCAATGCCCCCAAATTCGATTTAAAGCTTTCGTGACTGCAGGGATTCATCTTCTTGGTTCTTTCGGTAACGTCACGTAGAAGGGAAGTAATAAAATAATAAAAATAAAACATAATAAACTACAATTCTCACGACGTTTCGGCCACAACGCAAGCAGCCGTCCTCAGGTGAAAACCAGGTCTGTCGGGGAGACAGCGTGACTTTACCGAAAGAACCACGAAGAAAAATGACCCCAACTTCCCAGTAGCGACTGCATCCTTCACGAGCCTCCTCCAAGTCTACTTTTGCCACCAGGATAATCTGGCAATACCCCGAACTGCCCAATTGGTTTAAAGAATTCTAGATTTGAAGCTTTCGTGACTGCAAGGATTCATATTCTTAGGTTTTTCGGTAAAGTCACGTAGGTAGAAAATAAAAATTTATAAAAGTAAAATAAAAATAGAATAAAAATCACGACGTTTCGGAGGCAACACAAGCTTCCGTCTTCAGGTGGAACCGTCACAGCCACGATTGCTGCATCAAGTATTTTTTTATTTTAGTTTTATTAATTTAATGTTTTACTTACGTGACTTTACGGAAAAAACCCATCACTCCCATCTCATCACCATCACTCCCATCATCATCATCACTCACCATCACTCCACATCATCATCACCATCACTCCCATCATCACCATCACTCCCATCATCATCACCATCACCTCCCATCATCCCATCATCACTCCATCATCTCACCATCACTCCATCATCATCACCATCATCACTCCCATCATCATCACCATCACTCCCATCATCATCACCATCACTCCCATCATCATCACCATCACTCCCATCATCATCACCATCACTCCCATCATCATCACCATCACTCCCATCATCATCACCATCACTCCCATCATCATCACCATCACTCCCATCATCACCACCATCACTCCCATCATCATCGCCATCACTCCCATCATCATCACCATCACTCCCATCATCATCACCATCACTCCCATCATCATCATCACTACTCAAACCCCACCCCTCCCCCCACTCACCCCCACCCCTCCCCCCACTCACCCCCCACTCACCCCCACCCCTCCCCCACTCACCCCCACCCCTCCCCCCACTCACCCCCACCCCTCCCCCCCACTCAACCCCCACCCCTCCCCACTCACCCCCTCCCCCCACTCACCCCCCACTCCACCCCCACCCCTCCCCCACTCACCCCCCACTCACCCCCACCCCTCCCCCCACTCACCCCCACCCCTCCCCCCACTCACCCCCACCCCTCCTCCCACTCACCCCCCACTCAGCCCCCACCCCTCCCCCCACTCACCCCCCACCCCACCCCCCAGTCCCCGCTCGTCACGAGTGGAGTCGTCACCCCTAGCGATGGTCACGGCTGGGTGAGTGCCACTCATGTCAAAAATCACCCCCACCACACCCACCATCACCACCACAACCACCACAACAACCACCACAACAACCACCACCACAACCACCCCCACCACCACTACCACCCCACCACCACCACCACTACCACCCCCACCACCCCCCACCACCACCACCACCACCACAACCACCCGCATCACCATCACCACCACCACCACAACCACAACCACCACCCCCACCACCACCACAACCCCCACCTCCACCACCACCACCTCCACCACCCCCACCACCACCCCCACCCCCACCACCATCCGCATCACCATCACCACCACCACCACAACCATCACCACCACCACCACCCCCACCACCACCACCCCTAGCACCCCACCACCCCCACCACCACCACTACCACCCCCACCACCACCACCACCACTTTGGCTGCCAACTCGCCCAGGTGTTCCACTGTGGACGAGGAGGCTCGTGAAGGACGCTACTGGGCAGTTGGAGGCAGTCGCCCTCCAACAACAACGGAGGGCGGAGGAGCGACGCTCACAACAACGAGCGGAACGCCGGGTGGCTAAAGCACAGCAAGTTGTCACAGTAGGGGGCACAGGTGGTGCATCAGCCAGTCATCTCGGTCATCTCGGTCAGTCGACCCATGGCACCTGCTGGGTCTGCCCCGTGACCTCCTCCTCATGCACCTAGCCTGGCACAGCAGTACAACCCGTGGCACCTGCTGGGTCTGCCCCGTGACCTCCTGCCAGCGGGCGTTCGACACTTCACGTGGTAGCCTCAAGGTGCACTTGGCCTGGCACAAGCGTCGTGGTGACGTCACCGCCAATTAGTGGCGAATGGCGGTTGTTGTTGTATCACTATGTGTGTGGGTGTCACTGGTTATGTGTCAGTGTGCGTGTGTGTTGCTGTGTGTGTGTGTCATTGTGTGTGTTACGGTGTATGTGTCACTGTGTGTGTCAGTGTGTGTGTCACTGTGTGTAAGGTGCTCGCTAACAGCACTTGCCCCTACAGTCTGTTAAGGCTATACGGGGGATCTTTATCTTTTTATCTTTGTCACTGTGTGTGTCAGTGTGTGTGTGTCACTGTGTGTGTCAGTGTGTGTGTCAGTGTGTGTGTCACTGTGTGTGTCATTGTACGTGTTACGGTGTATGTGTGTCACTGTGACGATTATCTGAAACCGGTCCTGGGCCTGCTCCCCTAGGTCGACTCAGCCTCAAATGAGTACCTGGTGCGTTGTGTAAACATCGCCACTGGGGAGACAAAGGCGGCCGGGCGTGGTGCTGGCCACCCACCCCCTCGTGTGTGCCAGTGTCCGGTAGCCTTCACAGGTTGCACTTGCCCCGACAGCCTGTCACAGGCTACACGGGGGTCTTTGTCTTTGTGTGTGCGTGTGTGCAAAGCGTGTTGAGTGAGCGGGCAAGCGGGAGAATGGATGGGTGGGTGGCTGAGTGGGGTGAGTCAGCGGGTGAATGGATGGGTGGGTGAGTGAGTGGGTGAGTAGGTGATTCGTGAGTGGGTGGGTGAGTGAGTGGGTGGGTGAATGAGTAGGTGAGTCTGTGAGTCTGTGGGTGGGTGGGTGAGTGGGTGGGTGAATGAGTAGGTGAGTAGGTGATTCGTGAGTGGGTGGGTGAGTGAATGGGTGATTCTGTGAGTCTGTGGGTGGGTGGGTGAGTGGGTGGGTGAATGAGTAGGTGAGTCTGTGGGTGGGTGGGTGAGTGAGTAGGTGCGTCTGTGAGTGAGTGGGTGAGTGAGTAGGTGAGTCTGTGAGTGAGTGGGTGGGTGAGTGAGTGGGTGAGTAGGTGATTCGTGAGTGGGTGAGTGAGTAGGTGAGTCTGTGAGTGAGTGGGTGGGTGAGTGAGTGGGTGAGTCTGTGAGTGAGTGGGTGGGTGAGTGAGTGGGTGAGTCTGTGAGTGAGTGGGTGGGTGAGTGAGTCGGTGAGTCTGTGAGTGAATGGGTAAGTCTGTGAGTGAGTGGGTGGGTGAGTGAGTCGGTGAGTCTGTGAGTGGGTGGGTGAGTAATTAGGTGAGACTGTGAGTGAGTGGGTGGTTGAGTGACTAGGTGAGACTGTGGGTGAGTGAGTAGGTGAGTGAGTGGGTGAGTGAGTGGGTGGGTGAGTGAGTAGGTGAGTCTGTAAGTGGGTGGGTGAGTGAGTAGGTGAGTCTATGAGTAAGTGGGTGGCTGAGTGAGCAGGTGAGTCTGTGGGTGAGTGAGTAGGTGAGTCTGTGAGTGGAAGGGTGAGTGGGTAGGTGAGTCTATGAGTTGGTGAGTAGGTGAGAGAGGAGGTGAGTCTGTGAGTGAGTGCGTGGCTGACTGAGTAGGTGAGTCTGTCAGTCTGTGGGTGAGTGAGTCAGTGAGTATGTGGGTGAGTGGTTGGGTGAGTGAGTAGGTGAGTCTATGAGTGGGTGGGTGAGTGAGTAGGTGAGTCTGTGGGTGAGTGGGTCGGTGAGTGAGTCTGTGAGTGAGTGGGTGAGTGAGTGAGTGGGTGAGTGCGTAGGTGAGTGAGTGGGTGTGTGAGTGAGTAGGTGAGTCTGTGAGTGAGTGGGTGAGTGGGTGAGTGAGTGAGTGGGTGGGTGAGTGAGTAGGTGAGTCTGTGAGTGGGTGGGTGAGTGAGTAGGTGAGTCTGTGGGTGACTGAGTGGGTGGGTGGATGAGTGAGTTGGTGAGTCTATGAGTGGGTCGGTGAGTAGGTGAGTCTGTGAGTGGGTGAGTGGGTGAGTAGGTGAGTCTGTGAGTGGGTGGGTGGGTGAGTAGGTGAGTCTGTGAGTGGGTGAGTGGGTGGATGAGTGAGTCTGTGAGTGGGTGAGTGAGTGGGTGGGTGAGTGAGTAGGTGCATCTGTGGGTGAGTGAGTGGGTGGGTCTGTGAGTGGGTGGGTGAGTGAGTAGGTGAGTCTGTGGGTGAGTGAGTGGGTGGGTGAGTGAGTAGGTGAGTCTGTGTGTGGGTGGGTGATTGAGTGGGTGGATGAGTGAGTAGGTGAGTCTGTGAGTGGGTCGGTGAGTGAGTAGGTGAGTCTGTGAGTGGGTGAGTGGGTGGATGAGTGAGTCTGTGAGTGGGTGAGTGAGTGGGTGGGTTAATGAGTAGGTGCATCTGTGGGTGAGTGAGTGGGTGGGTCTGTGAGTATGTGGGTGAGTGAGTGGGTGAGTCTCTAGGTGAGTCTGCGTGTGGCTCAGTGTCTCTGACATGGCCATTGTGAACCTAGAGAGAAAAAGACGGTGCTCATTCTGAATCACAGTTTAATATCAGCAACACAGATCGCTACAACACACAGCACACAAAGACCCCTCCCCGTGTAGCATTGAAGAGACTTACGGGCCAAATGCTCTTAGCGATTCTGAACGTGAAGAGGAATCATCGGAGGGCCGGAATGAAACACAAACAACTCCACGCAAACCACGAGAAGAGAGAGAGAGAGACACGCAGACTCCAAATAGAGAGTAGCAGGGATTCGTCGGGGTCGGGATGGAACCTAACAAACCTCCTCTACACCAGGCGAGGTAGTCAACATCTCATAGCCGCCGTGATGATGATGATGAGAGAGACGCAAACTCCACATCTACAGCAGCAGCAGCAGGCATCGTCAGGATCGGGATCGAACCCACGACCTCCTGTGCACCAGGCGAGGTGGTCAACATCTCATCGGCACAGGAGGAATCGGAAATCGACGAGAGAGAGAGAGAGAAACACGTGGATTTTATAACACAAAGCATCATAATCATTGAATTCCATCCAGCAGTGAATAAGGGGCCGTCCATAAATGACGTCACGCACCTAATGGGTGAGGGGGGGGGTCAGACATTTGTGACGATGTGTCACGAGGGGGGGTTGAGGAATGTGACGTCACATCAAAATGTGCAACTTTAAATGAATATAGACAACACGTTTTTACTTAATTAAATAGACTTTTGAATAAGGGGCCGTCCATAAATGACGTCACGCACCTGGGGGGGGGGGGGTCAGACATTTGTGACGATGTGTGACGAGGGGGGGGGGGGTTGAGAAATGTGACGTCACGTAAAATGTGCAACTTAAAATAAAAATAGACAACACGTTCTACTTAGTTAAATAGACTTTGTAATAAATGTTTCCTCCTACAACATCAGAGTGCAGCGCCACACTGAATACGCACTACGATGACAATAGTTTAAAGCGATTTGAAGCATGTTTTATTTTTAAAAATGGAAATATGTATTTATTTGGGGGGGCATATTTGAGAGGGGGGGGTCAGACTTTTTGTGACGACGGGGGGGGGGGTCAAAAATCGTCCAAAATCGCGTGACGTCATTTATGGACGGCCCCCCTAAACCACGGTGATGATGGTGATCACACAGAGAGAGAGAAGCACGTGTTTAGATAAGTCACGTGGGGTGGTGACGTCACGTGGGTAGTGACGTCACGTGGGGTGGTGACGTCACGGCTGCTCGGGGCTCCTGGTCGCCTCGCCTCTCCTGGGAGCTCCTCCCGCCGGCTTCAGCTGCAGAGCCACAACCACAACAATCACAACAACAACAATAACAACAACAACAATAACCACAACAGCAATAACCACAACAACCACCACTACCACCACAACAACCACCACCACAACAACCACAACAACCACCACAACAACCACCACAACAATCACACCAACCACAACAACAACCATGAAAATCACAACAACAACAACCACAATAACAACCACAACAACCACAATAACAACCATAACAACAACCACAACAACAACCACAATAACAACCATAACAACAACAACCACAACAACAACCACAACAACCACAACAACAACCACAACAACAACCACAACAACAACCATAACAATAACAACAATAACAATAGCCACACCAGCAAGAACAACCACAACAACAACAACCACAACAACAACCAACAACCACAACAACCACAATAACAACCACAACAACCACAACAACCACAAGAACAACCATAACAACAACAATCACAACAATCACAATAACAACAATAACCACAACAACCACCACTACAACAACAACCACCACAACCACCACTACCACCACAACAACCACCACCACAACCACCACAACAACCACAACAACCACCACAACAACCACCACAACAATCACACCAACCACAACAACAACCATGAAAATCACAACAACAACCACAATAACAACCACAACAACCACAATAACAACCATAACAACAACCACAACAACAACAACCACAACAACAACCACAACCACAATAACAACCATAACAACAACAACAACCACAACAACAACAACCATAACAACAACCACACCAGCAACAACCACAACAACAACCACAACAACAACCACAACAACAATAATAACAACCACCACAACAACCACAACAACCACAACAACAACCACAACAACGTGTGTTATTGCAGTCAGCGCTACGCTGCGCTACGAACCTGGCGACCCGGGTTCGATTCCCGCTCACGGCCACCACCAGTGGCGATTCTCTGAACCGGTCCTGGGCCTCCCCTAGGTCGACTCAGCCTCAAATGAGTACCTGGTGTGGTGTGTAGTAAACATCGCCACTGGGGAGACAAAGGCGGCCGGGCGTGGTGCTGGCCACCCACCCCCTCGTGTGCCGTGCCGGCCTTCATAGGTGCTACTCGCTAACAGCACTTGCCCCTACAGTCTGTTGAGGCTACACGGGGGATCTTTGTCTTTACCTTTTGTGTCACAGTAAGTGTGTGTGTGTGAGAGGGTGAGTGTGTGTGTGAGTGTGTGTGTGAGAGAGGGTGTGTGTGAGTGTGTATGAGTGTGTGTGAGTGTGTGTATGAGTGTGTGTGAGTGTGTGTATGAGTGTGTGTGAGTGTGCGTGTTTGAGAGTGTGACAGAGAGGGGTGTGTGTGTGAGTGTGTGAGTGTGAGAGAGTGTGTGTGTGTTTGAGAGAGGGTGTGTGTGTGTGTGAGTGTGCGTGAGTGTGTGTCTGTGTGAGTGTGTGCGTGTGAGTGTGTGAGTGTGTGTGTGAGTGAGTGTGTGTGTATGTGTGAGTGTGTGAGTATGTGTCTGTGTGTCTGTGTAAGTGTGTATGAGTGTGTGTGAGTGTGCGTGTTTGAGAGTGTGACAGAGAGGGGTGTGTGTGTGAGTGTGTGAGTGTGAGAGAGTGTGTGTGTGTTTGAGAGAGGGTGTGTGTGTGTGTGAGTGTGCGTGAGTGTGTGTCTGTGTGAGTGTGTGCGTGTGAGTGTGTGAGTGTGTGAGTGTGTGTGTGAGTGAGTGTGTGTGTATGTGTGAGTGTGTGAGTATGTGTCTGTGTGTCTGTGTGAGTGTGTATGAGTGTGTATGAGTGTGTATGAGTGTGTGTATGTGTGTCTGTGTGTGTGTATGTGTGAGTGTGTGAGTGTGTGTGAGAGAGGGTGTGTCTGTGACTGTGTGTCTGTGTGTGAGTGTGTGAGTGTGTGTTTGCGTGAGTGTGTGTGTATGTGTGAATGTGTGTGAGTGTATGTGTGTGACTGTGTGTCTGTGTGTGAGAGTCCTACAAAACAACCCTCTACCTCCTCGTTGGTGACGGACGCCAACGCTTTAGTGAGCAGCAGTGCCGTGGGGGGAGCGTCAATTGTCGATTCGCCCTCCCCCTCATGACGTTTGTAGCCACCACAGCGGCCAAAGCGGGCTCTGGATGGGTGCGAGGGGCTGGTAACCCCTCCACCTTCAATTAATGACCACTAAACCATGAAACAATCATCCAACTCAGCTTGTGCCAGAGGCCCCGGGGGGACAGGCGTCCATGACGTCTCCTGGCCAAGGCCCATTTGGCAGAGCCAGGAGACTGAATTTTTACCCTCGGGGCTCCTCCACAAACAGCAAAAAAGCCACTTCGTGTGGGTGGCCACGTGGAATGTTCGAACGCTCACTGCGGAGGGGAGGCTGCCACTCCTCTGTCAGGAGCTGGACCGGTACCGCCTGGATCTCTGCGGTATTCAGAAGGTCCGGTGGACCGGCTCTGGCTCCTGCCACCGTGAGGGGTGGACAGCCCTCTACTCGGGGCAGTAGACTGCCAAACAACAGGGAGTGGCTCTTCTTTTGAACAAAAGAATGAAGGGGGCGTGGGAGCGTGGCGGTGAGGTGTGGGCAGCTGTAAGCCCCATGCTACTTTGGGCTCGCCTTCCCATCAATAAGAGGTGAGGAGTGGTGGTCGTGGTTACTTATGCCCCCACCAAAGACGAACATCCGTGGAGGAATGCAGGCAAGGCCGATGAGTCAGATGCATTCTATGACCTCCTGTCACAGGTGCTGGCTAAAGTGGCCCTTCGGGACAGAGTCATCTTGTTGGGTGACTTCAATGCCCGAGTGGGTCATGATGCTGGCACCTGGTCTGGAGTGATTGGAAGGCATGGGCCAGATCAGCTCAATAACAACGGTAGGAGGCTGCTATAGTTTTGTGCAGCCCATGGGCTTGTAATTACCAACACGCTGTTCCGGCATCGGCGCATCCACACAACATCATGGATGCATGCCAGGTCCAAGCAAGAACATCTGCTGGACTATAAAATTACCGACCAGCGGATAAGGGCCCATGTCCTTGACACCAGGACTTTACCGTGGAGCTGATCTGCCCTCTGACCATCGACTTGTCATCTGTAAGATGCGCCTGCAATTTTGTACCAAATGGTGATGGGGCAGTTGTGGAGAGAGTGGAGAGTTTCACATACCTGGGCAGTGTGCTCATGACCGGCTCCGGTTTGACAGCAGAGGTCTCACTCCACATCAGTCGAGCGGCATTATCTTTACATCGACTGCATAACGCAATGTGGAAGCTACCTGGTCTGTCACTCCACACGAAGCTTCAGGTCTTCTCGGCCACGGTCATTCCCTCCCTTCTCTACGCTTGCGAAACGTGGACCCCCCTAGTGGAGCATCTTCGCCGGTTGGAAACATTTAGACTGGCTTGCCTACGATCCATCCTGGGTTTAACCAGGCTGGATTGTGTGAGGAGCTCACAAATCCTTGAAAGATCTGGGCAAAGTCCCATCAGTGAGCTCCTCCGGCAGGCAAGGCTGCGTTGGCTGGGTCATGTAGCCCGCATGCCCAGCCACCGCATGCCTAAACAGCTTTTGTTCGGCCGGATCGAGGGGGCTAAACGGGCGCGGCACGGGCTGGAGAAGAGATGGAGTGATGTGGTACAGGAGGACGTGGAGCTGAGTGGACTTGCCGATGACTGGTACCAGCGGTGTCAAGATCGGCCTCAGTGGAGGAGGCTCGTGAAGGACGCTACTGGGCAGTTGGAGGCAGTCGCCCTCCAACAACAACGGAGGGCGGAGGAGCGACGCTCACAACAACGAGCGGAGCGCCGGGTGGCTAAAGCACAGCAAGTTGGCACAGTAGGGGGCACAGGTGGTGCATCAGCCAGTCATCTCGGTCATCTCGGTCAGTCGACCCGTGGCACCTGCTGGGTCTGCCCCGTGACCTCCTGCCAGCGGGCGTTCGACACTTCACGTGGCCTCAAGGTCCACTTGGCCTGGCACAAGCATCGTAGTGACGTCACCGCCACTTAGTGGCGAATGGCGGTTGTTGTTGTTGTTGTGTTTGTCTGTGTCTGTGTGTGTCTGTGTGTGTCTGTTTGTGTGTAATCTGTGTGTGTCTGTGTGTGTGTGCATGTGAGTGCGTCTGCGTGCGTGTGAGTTTGTGTGAGTGTGTGTGTGTCTGTGTGAGTGCGTCTGTGTGTGTGTGCATGTGAGTGCGTCTATGTGTCTGTGTGTGCACGCTAACAGCCCTTGCCCCAACAGCCTATTAAGGCTCTACGGTATGGCAGGGCGGGACCTTTGTCTTTGTCTCACCTGTCCACCGCCGCCACCACCGCCACCACCACCACCACCGCCACCACCGCCACCACCCCGAGGGAAGCGGCTGATGTTGCTAGTGATCTGCTGGGAGCGAAGCCACTGCTGCTCCCACTGCTGGGCGCTGTACGACGGCTTCGACTTCTGCAGCCTCATCAGCAGCGCCCGGTTCTCCCGCGCCAGCCGCTCCAGCTCACGCCCTCGCTGCTCGCCGTTCAGGCTGAGAGAGCGGAGAGAGCGAGTCAGCGGGGAGAGGGCGGCCTTGTGGTTGTGGAAAAAAAAATTCGCTGGCACGGGTCTGGCACGGGTCTGGCACGGGTCTGGCACGGGTCTGGCACGGGTCTGGCACGGGTCTGGCACGGGTCTGGCACGGGTCTGGCAAGGGTATGGCATCGGGCTGGCACGGGTCTGGCACGGGTCTGGCACGGGTCTGGCACGGGTCTCGCACTGCTCTGGTACGGGTCTGCCGCAGGTCTGATACGGGTTCGGTACAGGTGTGGCACGGATCTTGGCACGGGTCTGCGGCAGGTCTGATACGAGTTCGGTACAGGTGTGGCACGGATCTTGGCACGGGTCTGCCGCAGGTCTGATACGGGTTCGGTACAGGTGTGGCACGGATCTTGGCACGGGTCTGCATGCATCTCGAATAGGTCGGGTACGGGTCTGGCACAGGTCTGGTAGGGGTTTGGTAAGGGCCTGACACAGGTCTGGCACGAGTCTAGCACGGGTCTGGCACGGGTCTGGCATGGGTCTAGCACGGGTCTAGCACGGGTCTGCCACAGGTCTGCTATGGGTTTGGTACAGGTCTGGCACGGATCTGACACGGGTCTGGCATGGATCTGGCACGGGTCTGACACGGGTCTGGCATGGATCTGGCACGGATCTGACACGGGTCTGGCATGGCTCTGGCACGGGTCTCTCACTGCCCACGTAGGGGTCCAACACACATCTGGTACGGCTTTGATCCAGGCCTCGCACGGCGTCTAGCACGTGTCTGGAACGGGTCTAGCACGGGTCTGGCACGGATCTGGCACGGATCTAGCACGGGTCTCTCACTGCCCACGTAGGGGTCCAACACACGTCTGTAACGGCTTTGATCCAGGCCTCACACGGCGTCTAGCACGGGTCTGGCACGGGTCGAGCGCGCAGTGGAAAAGGCTCCCCGTTACCTGCGGGCGACGTAGGAGTTGCGGTGGTCGAGCCGCCCGCCCGTGCCGGCGATGTGAGCCATGCGGCCCAGCAGGGCCCGGTTCTCGTGCTCGATGGCCGCCACTCGCTCCTCCTGCGCCTGGTGGGGAGCCAGCAACGTCGACATTGACAACATCATCACCATAACCATCACCGTCACCACCATCATCACCATAACCATCACCGTCACCACCATCATCACCATAACCATCACCGTCACCACCATCAGCATCATAACCATCATCAGCACCATCACCACCATCCCCACCACCACCACCATCACCATAACCACCACCACCATCAGCATCATAACCACCATCCCTACCACCACCATCACCATAACCATCACCGTCACCACCATCACCACCATAAACATCATCAGCACCAACACCATCCCCACCACCATCATCATCACCACCACCACCATCATCATCACCACAATCATCATGACCACCATCATCATCATCACCACCACCATCATCACCATAACCATCACCACCATTACCACCATCACCATCACCACCATCCCCACCATCATCACCACCACCACCATCATCATCACCACAATCATCATGACCACCACCATCATTACCACGACCATCACCACCATCACCACCATCACCACTACCACCATCCCCACCACCACCATCATCACCACCACCATCATCACCACAATCATCATGACCACCATCATCATCACCACCACCACCACCACCACCATCCCCACCACCACCATCATCACCACCATCATCATCATCACCACAACCATCATGACCACCATCATCACCACCACGACCATCACCACCACCATCACCACTACCACCATCCCCACCACCACCATCATCACCACCACCATCATCATCACCACAATCATCATGACCACCATCATCATCATCACCACCACCACCATCATCATCACCACCATCATCACCACCACCATCACCATCACCCCTGCCTTAGCCACACAGCGTTCTTCAGACACCATCGTTCGAGAGCGGGTTACGAATCTAAATCGTAATTATTATCAATCAATCAATCCTCATCATCAATCAACAACATCATCGTGACATCCTGTAGATGTCAATGTACCTGCATCTTCTTGCTCCTTGTGTTCAGATGGTCGCATGTTCTTGGAGAGCTGGTGTCCACCACGGGCTTGGCTTCAAGAACCTTCAGGGATGTATGGATGTGAGTTAAATCAGGGGTGGGGAAAGTCCGGCCGTATGAGGCCCGCGAAATCATTTGGATCTGGCCCTGCCAAGGCAACTGCACAACTCGAAATTCAACAAATCTAGGAGCAAACCTGGAAAAGCAGTTGCGGGTAGCAGCAACATCATCATCAAAACCAGCTAACAACATCATCAACACCAGCTAACATCATCATCAACACCAGCTAACTTCATCATCAATACCAGCTAACATCATCATCAACACCAGCTAACAACATCATCAACACCAGCTAACATCATCATCAACACCAGCTAACTTCATCATCAATACCAGCTAACATCATCATCAATACCAGCTAACATCATCATCAACACCAGCTAACATCATCATCAACACCAGCTAACATCATCATCAATACCAGCTAACAACATCATCAATACCAGCTAACATGATCATCAACACCAGCTAACATCATCATCAATACCAGCTAACAACATCATCAATACCAGCTAACATCATCATCAACACCAGCTAACATCATCATCAATACCAGCTAACAACATCATCAATACCAGCTAACAACATCATCAACACCAGCTAACATCATCATCAACACCAGCTAACATCATCATCAATACCAGCTAACAACATTATCAATACCAGCTAACATCATCATCAACACCAGCTAACAACACCATCAACACCAGCTAACAACATCATCAACACCAGCTAACATCATCATCAACACCAGCTAACATCATCATCAATACCAGCTAACATCATCATCATTACCAGCTAACATCATCATCAACACCAGCTAACATCATCATCAACACCAGCTAACATCATCATCAACACCAGCTAACATCATCATCATCAACACCAGCTAACATCATCAACACCAGCTAACATCATCATCAACACCAGCTAACATCATCATCAACACCAGCTAACATCATCATCATCAACACCAGCTAACATCATCAATACCAGCTAACATCATCAATACCAGCTAACATCATCATCAACACCAGCTAACATCATCATCAACACCAGCTAACATCATCATCAACACCAGCTAACATCATCATCAACACCAGCTAACATCATCATCAACACCAGCTAACATCATCATCAACACCAGCTAACATCATCATCAATACCAGCTAACATCATCATCAATACCAGCTAACATCATCATCAATACCAGCTAACATCATCATCAACACCAGCTAACATCATCATCAACACCAGCTAACATCATCATCAACACCAGCTAACATCATCATCAACACCAGCTAACATCATCATCAACACCAGCTAACATCATCATCAATACCAGCTAACATCATCATCAATACCAGCTAACATCATCATCAACACCAGCTAACATCATCATCAACACCAGCTAACATCATCATCAACACCAGCTAACAACATCATCAACACCAGCTAACATCATCATCAATACCAGCTAACATCATCATCAACACCAGCTAACATCATCATCAATACCAGCTAACATCATCATCAATACCAGCTAACATCATCATCAACACCAGCTAACATCATCATCAACACCAGCTAACATCATCATCAACACCAGCTAACATCATCAACACCAGCTAACATCATCATCAACACCAGCTAACATCATCATCAACACCAGCTAACATCATCATCAACACCAGCTAACATCATCATCAACACCAGCTAACAACATCATCAACACCAGCTAACATCATCATCAATACCAGCTAACATCATCATCAACACCAGCTAACATCATCATCAACACCAGCTAACATCATCATCAACACCAGCTAACAACATCATCAACACCAGCTAACATCATCATCAACACCAGCTAACATCATCATCAACACCAGCTAACATCATCATCAACACCAGCTAACATCATCATCAACACCAGCTAACATCATCATCAATACCAGCTAACATCATCATCAAGACCAGCTAACATCATCATCAACACCAGCTAACATCATCATCAATACCAGCTAACATCATCATCAACACCAGCTAACATCATCATCAACACCAGCTAACATCATCATCAACACCAGCTAACAACATCATCAACACCAGCTAACATCATCATCAACACCAGCTAACATCATCATCAACACCAGCTAACAACATCATCAACACCAGCTAACATCATCATCAATACCAGCTAACATCATCATCAACACCAGCTAACATCATCATCAACACCAGCTAACATCATCATCAACACCAGCTAACATCATCAACACCAGCTAACATCATCATCAACACCAGCTAACATCATCATCAACACCAGCTAACATCATCATCAATACCAGCTAACATCATCATCAACACCAGCTAACATCATCATCAACACCAGCTAACATCATCATCAACACCAGCTAACAACATCATCAACACCAGCTAACATCATCATCAACACCAGCTAACATCATCATCAACACCGGCTAACATCATCATCAATACCAGCTAACATCATCATCAACACCAGCTAACATCATCATCAACACCAGCTAACATCATCATCAATACCAGCTAACATCATCATCAACACCAGCTAACATCATCATCAACACCAGCTAACATCATCAACACCAGCTAACATTATGGGGACCTCATTTGCCAGTAAAAATATGATAATTGGTTCTTTACCCTTCTATCTGGCAACAAAACTGACACCTTTTTGCAAGGAGTCATGTTTGCATAGACCGCAATACCTGCAGTCATAAATACAAACAAAAGACATAACTCTGATGATGTGCACTGTCCTTGAAGTTGATTGGTCCACACCCGAGACAGCTTTCCTTCGAGCCTAGTCTCATATGGGTTGGACCAGATGCGCCTTTTGGCGTCATCTGGTCCAACCCATATGAGACTAGGCTCGAAGGAAAGCTGTCTCGGGTGTGGACCAATCAACTTCAAGGACAGTGCACATCATCAGAGTTATGTCTTTTGTTTGTATTTATGACTGCAGGTATTGCGGTCTATGCAAACATGACTCCTTGCAAAAAGGTGTCAGTTTTGTTGCCAGATAGAAGGGTAAAGAACCAATTATCACCAGCTAACATCATCATCAATACCAGCTAACATCATCATCAACACCAGCTAACATCATCAACACCAGCTAACATCATCATCAATACCAGCTAACATCATCAACACCAGCTAACATCATCATCAACACCAGCTAACATCATCAACACCAGCTAACATCATCATCAACACCAGCTAACATCATCATCAACACCAGCTAACATCATCAACACCAGCTAACATCATCATCAACACCAGCTAACATCATCAACACCAGCTAACATCATCATCAATACCAGCTAACATCATCATCAACACCAGCTAACATCATCAACACCAGCTAACATCATCATCAACACCAGCTAACATCATCATCAACACCAGCTAACATCATCAACACCAGCTAACATCATCATCAACATCAGCTCACATCATCAATACCAGCTAAATCATCATCAACACCAGCTAACATCATCAATACAGCTAAATCATCATCAACACCAGCTAACATCATCATCAACACCAGTTAACATCATCACAACCAGCTAACATCATCATCAATACCAGTTAACATCATCATCAATACCCGCTAAATCATCCATCAACACCAGCTAACATCATCACACACCAGCTAACATCATCATCAACACCAGCTAACATCATCATCAACACCAGCTAACATCATCAACACCAGCTAATCACATCAATCATCAATCACCAGCTAACATCATCAACACAGCTAACATCATCATCAACACCAGCTAACTCATCAATACCAGCTAACATCATCATCAACACCAGCTAACATCATCATCAACACCAGCTAACTCATCATCAATACCAGCTAACATCATCATCAACACCAGCAACATCATCATCAACACCAGCTAACATCATCATCAATACCAGCTAACATCATCATCAACACCAGATCACATCATCATCAACACCAGCTAACATCATCATCAATACCAGCTAACATCATCATCAACACCAAGCTACATCATCATCAACACCAGCTAACATCATCATCACAACCAGCTAACATCATCATCAACACCAGCTAACAGTCATCATCAACACCAGCTAACATCATCATCAACACCAGCCTAACATCAACATCAACACCAGCTAACATCATCATCAATACCAGCTAACAACATCATCAACACCAGCTAACATCATCATCAACAAAACCAGCTAAAACCATCATCATCAACACCAGCTAACAATCATCATCAATACCAGCTAACAACATCATCAACACCAGCTAACATCATCATCAACACCCAGCTAACATCATCATCAACACCAGCTAACAACATCATCAATACCAGCTAACATCATCATCAACACCAGCTAACATCATCATCAACACCAGCTAACATCATCATCAACACCAGCTAACATCATCATCAATACCAGCTAACATCATCATCAACACCAGCTAACATCATCATCAACACCAGCTAACATCATCATCAATACCAGCTAACATCATCATCAACACCAGCTAACAACATCAGCAACACCAGCTAACATCATCATCAACACCAGCTAACATCATCATCAACACCAGCTAACAACATCATCAACACCAGCTAACATCATCATCAATACCAGCTAACATCATCATCACACCAGCTAACAACATCATCAACACCAGCTAACATCATCATCAACACCAGCTAACAACATCATCAACACCAGCTAACAACATCATCAACACAGCTAACATCATCAACACCAGCTAACAACATCATCAACACCAGCTAACATCATCATCAACACCAGCTACAACATCATCAACACAGCTAACATCATCAACACCAGCTAACATCATCATCAACACCAGCTAACATCATCATCACACCAGCTAACATCATCATCAATACAGCTAACTCATCATCAACACCAGCTAACATCATCATCAACACCAGCTAACATCATCATCAACACCAGCTAACATCATCATCAACACCAGCTAACATCATCAACACACCAGCTAACATCATCATCAACACCAGCTAACATCATCATCAATACCAGCTAACATCATCATCAACACCAGCTAACAACATCATCAACACCAGCTAACATCATCATCAACACCAGCTAGCAACATCATCAATACCAGCTAACATCATCATCAACACCAGCTAACAACATCATCAACACCAGCTAACATCATCATCAATACCAGCTAACATCATCATCAACACCAGCTAACATCATCATCAACACCAGCTAGCAACATCATCAATACCAGCTAACATCATCATCAACACCAGCTAACAACATCATCAACACCAGCTAACATCATCATCAATACCAGCTAACATCATCATCAACACCAGCTAACAACATCATCAACACCAGCTAACATCATCATCAACACCAGCTAACATCATCATCAACACCAGCTAACATCATCATCAACACCAGCTAACATCATCATCAACACCAGCTAACAACATCATCAACACCAGCTAACATCATCATCAACACCAGCTAACAACATCATCAACACCAGCTAACATCAT